CGAGTGACGAGAACTGAGAGCTTCTATGCACGTGCCCGCACCACGTCCACGTGAAGTCGCGGTCGCGCGGCGTAGTCATGTAGCAATAATGAATAAAAAAACACGCACACACGCATTAGCCAATGATCTGCAAGAAAATAGCTGACGTACCAAACTTGTCTGGCACGTGACCTGGCATGGAAACAAGATGGGAGGGCCCGCTCTACTATGCCACATATCTTGGCGCGACTCTCCTCCTCGCAGGCTCGTATCTCGAGCAAGCGTGCCCAAGCTTGCGATGCTTTACCTTTCTTGTCGGTGGGCATAGCCGTTTTCACTGGGAGAAGGCGAGGAGAAATTTCGGCGCTTCTCCGCTGGGAGACTCGGGAAGCTGAGGAAATGAAGGCAATCAAGGTGGGGAAAAAGAAAAAAACGGCCGGCAGCCGTGGTGGCCTCTTCCCCACTTTGGAATCAGCTGCGTCGCTCCACTCGCGTGCAGCGGTGTCGCGCGTTCGCATCATTCGAATCGGCTAGGCAAACTGTTCGTATAACACCGAATTACGACGTATTTTAAACAATGCTACTTTGTCCGCCACAACCTCAAAATTCGTATCATCATGAAATTCGTATCAACTGTAATCGTATCATCGAGATTCTACTGTATCTGCAAATGCATATTGCAGCCCTGACCATCGAAGATCTGTTCATCGTAAGAAAACCCCCGGGACGTCTCAAACTTACTATGTGATTGGTGCACCCAAAGTGCTTGTGCTTTTTTCATGGACGTTAAAAACTTATTTTATTCCCTACCACAGAACATTTTGTGCGAGGAGGTCAAAGAGTGCATTCAACACTATGGTGAGAATGAATTTTGTAAATCTTTTGGAACTCGCGCAGATAGCTTTCTTGAACTTTTGAACTTTTATTTGCAGTCAACGTTCCTGACGAGAAACAATAAATGGTACATTCAAAGGCAGGGCATGTGTATTGGGTCATGTGTAGCTCCAGTCCTCAGTGATATTTTATTAGCTTGTTTTGACAAACAGATACAAGTGAGGCTAGCTGAGAGACATATTATTAAGGTATTCCGTAATGTTGATGATTTTTCAGTCTTTTATAGTGCAGAACAGTGTGACACAAGGCAGCCCGCCGAGATTTTTAGCACTTTTTCTGAGAACATTAATCTGCAGCTTACAACTGAGTTCCCTGAAAATAACAAACTTAGGTTTTCACTGAAGTACAAGAGCTTACGTTTCTTGCCAGAACACATGTGCTGGCAATACGCTTCCCGCTCCCAGAGAGCCCCGTTACCCTTTAGTTCAGCTCTCTCCAAGCTTGTTTAGCGAGGAATTTCACAAGCATGCATGATGGCATCACTCTCAAGGTCTTGTCATCACCAGGTTCAGAGCAGTTTTGGCAATCAAGCTAACAGATTTAAGAAAGCAGGCTTTCCTGATCAATTGCCCTCAGGCATGGCAATGTCACTTCTGAATAAATTGAAGCGGGGGAAGAATGCACAGCACGCATCTCAGGACGAGTCAAAGCCGAAAGTGTCTGCCATTTCTTATGTGCACAAAGCTTCGCACTGCTTAAAAAGAGTCGTAAAAAACAGGGGTGAAGCTCATATTCAAGGCAGAAAAAAAAAATGCAGCATATCCATGGGATGAATGATGGAAAGTGGGGCAAAGCTTTGTGCGCACGCCGCTGCCGGCCGTTTTAGCCTCCTGTTGTCGTACTGCAGGGTCCTCGCAGCGCGCTTCTGCCTCGCGCGCCCGCACGTCGGAATCTCTTCTTTGAGTACGAGCCACCGGCGCCCTGTGCGCATGCCGCTTAGCAGCTTTGTCCATCCTCCGTCGCCGTGCCTCTGAATGCGCGCGCGCCAGAACGGCGCTTTTATTGTACTATTGAGCGCCTCCTGGTGTACGGCGCTGCCGAAGAACGCGCGATAGTCTCTCTTTCCTTCCGTACGTGGGGCGTCAATTCTTCTTTTCTACAAGTAACACCCTCTAGTGTCGTACCATTTGCATTTTTCAGCCACTAGTAAAAGTACCGCCCTCTATGGCCGGTTCAAGAATTAACGAGGACTGGTTACCCACAACTATAGTGAACTAGAATATGATCTAGTGGTGCCACCGGCAGACCCTGGCTGCTATCTCGGCTGTCCAAAATGACACAGATGGCGGCTAGGATTTCTCGTGGCATCACTGCGCCTTTTCATGTCATGTGTGCGAAGGCAAGCACTTGCCGGCGCGACGTTCTTCTCTAGATAGCGCTGGCAGCGCGGGAGTCAATCAGTGCATGTGTTTGAGTTTGGCGCGCTGAGCCACCGCCACCTGAAGAAAATTCGTCAAGGCCTGGAAGCTCTACCGCATATGTCATCGGCTGACGACGCTAGTTGCGTTGTGCGCTGTGGGGGCACACAACGCAACTGATACCAGCGTTCCAGTCCCTGCAGCATTACTGTGCTACGACGAGAAACGATGAATGTTACATCGTTTTCCGAGTGCCGTCGGGCTCTTCGAAGTTGTGTTATGCGGTGCTTGTAGTTGTGCTCGCGTTCGTTGGTGAGTGACCAGATTACGAGCAGCTGTAGTGCCTAGGTAGTGTTGTGTCCACATTTTTGTGGAAACCGTGAATCTGGGCCGCTAGTGTACGTATTTGTATTTTCGACTGACCAAGGCGCGTGGAAAGGCATATATACAGGCTATCCTAAGGGATAGTGTCAGCCCAACAAAACATGAAAAAGTAAATATGCTGCTTTTCTTTCACTTTTTGTATTTTGCTACATCTAGTACCGTGTTATTCTGTGTCACTTTTATCCCATGCGCGCTTTCGAAGTAAGAGTTAAGGCCAATACCATAAACGGGAAGCATAATGCGGTCGCTTTTTGCCATTTGCAGATGTTTGAAATAATTTTTAGCTCAAGTGATATAGATGAGAGGGCCAGCAACGGCCAGAAGAAAATCCGAGCGCACACGAGACGCGCTTTTTATTCTTACGGTTCATGTGCGTGCTTCTCAACAAATTTTCTTGTGGTATGCGTACCTGCTCTTGTGGGGTGCGGGCCGCGTAAGAGAGCGAAGCTGATGAGTGTCTCTTGCAGGCCTGATTATTGCATTTCCAGTTCTAACAAGCTACTCTACTGCACGGGTGCCAATGCAATCTGCTGCATTCTCTTGCCAGTACCAGAATAAAGTCTGTACTTTGTGAGATATCCCACATCAACAAACATATAGCCCGCGACATGTCGAAGCGGAGAATGGATTCTCATTGCTTTGCTCCGGGTTCCCCAATCGGTAACCGGGGCGCTCCGAAGGCTTCGCTGTTTGCAGCACCAAGAGATGACGATCTCTGCAGAAAGTGGGAGTGCAACCTCCAGAGGGCTGACAAGTCTCTGACCTAAACTTCAGCAGTGTGCGAACATCATTTTGAGCCAAGAGACATCCTGCACGAATATGTGCTGTGATAAATGGCAGTAAAGTGCGCATTCCCCGAGGAAAACTATAACTGGTTCCTGGTGCTGTGCCAACGCATTTACCAGGTTGTCCATGCAGTAACTAATCTCGCAATTTTACGTTTGCATGAACCAGAAAGCAAACGCGCGTTAGAAGTAACCACATCTGCAGCTCTGCAGAAGTCTGCGACGACCCAACAACGCAGCCGAAGCTGACGTGAGAAGTAGCAGTGGCACCACATGGCGGCATCCATGTGAAAGCTGACGCCGCAGCCCAGCCGGTCACGCCACTAGATCATATTCTAGTTCACTATACCCACAACAAGAATGCATAAGCCACGCTATAAAGAGCTTCGTGCCTAAAAACGAGCTATGCTTTCTGTGTAAAAGAGTTAGCTACAAAGGATTTTCAAGTGTCGGGTGCAATAAGAAGCATGCAAGAACCACGCAAATGTTCGTAGAATATAATATAGGCGTTGTGTATCTCATTTAATTATCATGTGGTCGATGCTACATCAGTCAGACGGTGGCTGTCTGAATGATAACCTTAGGGAGCACGCAAATATCATGCGTGGATCAGTGGGCAGCCACCTGGTAAGTCGCTGTGCCAATTGTAGGTGCATCCCGAAGTTTGATGAATGCCAATTAATGGCAAGATAAAAAGACAAGAGGGCACTTGAAATACATGAGGCGTTTTTTATTCGCAAAGCTGGAACTGAGTGTGTAAATGCCCTGTCCGTCAATTTGTTGGACAATGAATACCTAGTATTTTTTTAGTTAAATTTTCATTTCATGATTTGAATAAGATGTTCTGGCGCATGCGCCATCAATTGTTCTTCTTTTCTGTGTGTCATCACCTCGACCTCTTGACTGTGTGTACATATTGTTGCCACCTGTGTAATAAAATGGTTGTAATGAATTTTAGATGCTGAAACTCTTCCAAGTCTCAACTTTTTGCTAAAATTGTATTTTCGAAAGTGCATTAACAGAAGCCACCGCCACAACAACGCCATAGCGCAGTTTGAAAGTCAGCTTTGCCACAACATGTGATTCCTGTGCGTAGAAGCTTACGGCCACAGACTGAAGGGGCATTGGGCAATATGGGGTTCTGAGCGGTGGTTCAGTAGCTTAACTTTTCGTGTTTTTCTTTCTTTTCAAGGATTTCGTGACCAATTATCTTTCGTTATGGATAGCTAATTAAGTGCCAGAATTTATTGTTAGAACCAATATTGTAGTATGTGGGCATTACTGTAAGCATCTAGGTTGTTTCACCATTGAAAGCATAAGAGTGGACAGTGCAGCAGCTCCTCATTGCTATGAATTAGATATGGTTATCATTATAAGTGGGTTAAGCTTCATTTGTGTTGATTAATTGTCTTCTTCCACTTATTTTACAGTTTTTTATTTTTGTTGTGAAGTTATGTCTTCATGTGAATTTTTTTCGCACATCCTTCCGAATGCCTGTGTTGAAATTGTGTGTGCCACACATTGAAATAGTCACTTGGCAATAGGGCAGTCAGCCATTTGTTGTGGATGCAGCTGATTGATGACTGTATCCTTTGCACAGTGAGTGTGTCATTCGACAACTACCGACGAGCACGGGAGCCAGTGCTGTCGGACTCTGAGGATGAAGACGAGGATGATGGGCTCGACGGTGGCCTGGGATTGGGGGGCAACCGACACTGGGACTCGTTTGAGCGAGACCAACGTGCAGCGCAGGCGATTGGCCGCTCTGGTGTAGCACGTCAGCCTGGCGGAGGCTTCACCACCAAGCATGATGCCACTGTCTGTGGACGTCGCAATGCGTGCCGGTGAGTGCATGGCAAATGAGTTGTCCTGGATTATTTGCTTCAAATGTTGTTTAAGAAAGTTTTGTATCTCACCCAAAGTACAGTGGAAGCCCAAATATGTATGACCTTGAGGGGACCACATCATATTATCTGGGCATCGTACAAAAACAAAGAATATTGGCAGTGACGCTCAGCCTTTTTGGCAAAACGGGTCCAGACTGCCTGAACAAGCCCCCGGCACGGTCCTGCACTTTTCCTAGAAAGGTAGAATTATTAAATAAATTTTTAGAAATGACAGCTAAGCAGTTGTAATTAAAGAAGGTGTGGATGAATCTTTTTTCTCAACAAAAAAAAATCTTGTCAAACATGCATTTTTTTCCGATAAATTGAATTTAGAATGGCCCTGAATGTACAAGTAAAACCGTAACCTTCAGAAAAATTGGATACAGCATTGTCACCATCACCCAATGGAAACAGAACACATTTTTTTAAAGGGTCAGTAAACAGCTTCTGACTTTTTTTACACCCCCTATACAAGCTCAGCAATTAGTAGATTAGACCTCCGCGATCACTTTTTCTGAATATTACAGCACTGCCCGCCGCGCAGAGCCTTCTATTTCAACAACAATTCCCACGCATCTTTCCTACGCCTGACTGACCCCCTTGCACGGGCAGTGACATCAACTCGGCGATCGGCGACGTGACGTAGCACACAGTTCGCCGATTGGTCTAAATAAAGATTGAAAAAATAGTAGTGAAGTCAAGGTCAGTTCGTGTTCCTTCCCACAGCTGCGAAAACTGCCCTTTGTTTCTTGGCCCTGTGGTGAAAAAATCAGCCTCGCAGTTGTCGCGTGCACGTGTACACTCCTCGCTCAACTACAGCGCCTGTGCACACGTACGAACGTACTTCGCCCTTGACATGAGCAACCCGGGTAAACAGCGTTGCTCTGTCGTCGGCTGCAAATCGAGCGACTGGACAATGGAGAAGCATCGGCACCGGGTGCCTCACGATGGGGCCCTGTGCGCTGCATGGCTGAAGCGAATCGGCCATCCAGCTACGAACGTCGGGGACCTGACCGTTTGTGGTCGACATTTCACACCTGATGCCTAAACGGTTGACCCGCGGCTGGTGCGGCAAACGGCAAACAAACAACCACGCTTCGCAGCAAGCGGAAGTGCATTGCGACCTATCGAGTTCACCGATGATGTCGATCGCTGACGTGGTGGCACGTTGCCGAAGTGGGCGGAGTCATGACGATTGGGCTGCGATTTCTCCTTTATTGAAGGAGGAAGGGGGGGCGTGGCCGCGCAAAAATATGAAGCCAGCTTAGACCAATCTTCTAACCCTTGTAACTTCCTTAATTAAAGTACGTATTTGCAAAATTCTTGCGGCAGCATGTTCGCAAAGAAACATATATTTCTTTTTAAAAATTTTTGGACCTCAGAGCTGTTTACTGGCCCTTTAAGAGTGTTAGGATGCCTCCTTGTGCAATCGAGCTGAGCGTGTTGAGTTTGTTCCCTTGCGAAGTCCAGTTAGGAATGTGCTGCTGATATTGTAGCGATGCTGAGGGAGACAGGCTAAAAAAACAAGCGTCTTTATTAGGGCGAACTTGTGCCCACAAGTCTAATGACTATGGTCGTCAAGTTTGAGTAGCCGAGTTTCACAGATTCAACTTCTTCCTCTTCCGCGTAGCCCGAGTGCGCGAACGCGTGGCGCATGCCAGCCGTGTCTTGCTGGTGCTCGTTCCACGATTATTGCGGCGGGCTACTTGAACGTGGCCAACCTGTCGTGGCATTATCCCCTTCCTCAGACGCATCGTCCCGATGCTTGAGACAGTGAAAAGATACATGCGCACACTCATTTTGCGTTAATCTGTCATGATAGGGCTTCATGCGGACTACGTGTACCACTTCCATAGGATTGCGGCGTCTTGAGCTCATGTGTCCAGCGGATCTGACTTCATAAGTGACGTGGCTGATACGGTAGAGTACCTCATAGGGGCTGAAGTATCGGCAAAGAAGCTTTTCAGAGACGTCCGCAGCAACGCACTGGGATCCATATCCGCACTTTGTCACCGGGATGATAAAGTGCGTCACTGCTTCGCTTGTTGTACCAACTAGAATCGACGTGCTGTTGGCGGCGTATTCGGTATCTTGCCATTTGTCGTGCTTCTTCGGCTCTTTGCAAGAAGTCATCTAAGTTGGGTGGATATCTGCTTTCATCCTGTAGTGGTAACATCGCATCCAGTGGGGTGGTCACTCTTCGGCCGAATACTAGTTCCAAACGGGCAATGTGGGTTGTTTCTTGAATGGCTGTATTATATGCGAATGTTACGTAGGGTAATATTTCATCCCACTGTTTATGTTCAACATCGACATACATTGATAGCATGTCGGTCAGAGTTCTGTTGAGGCATTCGGTTAAGCCATTCGACTGAGGGTGATACGCCGTTGTTCTTCTGTGATGGGTATTTGTCATGCGCATCAAGCATTGCATAAGGTCTGGAGTAAATGCGGTGCCTCGATCCGTAATGACGACGATGGGCGCACCATGTCTGAGCACTATGTTGTTCACAAAGAACTTGGCGACTTCGGCAGCTGTCGCACTGTACAGAGTCAGTCTCAGTATAACGGGTCAGATAGTGTGTGGCTACGACTATCCATTTCTTGCCTGCACACAATGTCGGGAAAGGTCCTAGGAAGTCCATGCCGACTTGTTGGAATGGAGCATCCGAAGTGTCTATTGGCTGGAGAAGGCGGGCTGGTTTTACGAGTGGAGTTTTGCGCTGTTGACATTGACGACAAGTTTTCACGTAGTGCTGCACTGATGCGAGCAACTTAGGCCAATAGTATTTCAGGCGAATCCTGGCGAATGTTCGGCTCACACCCATGTGTCCAGATGTTGGCTCGTCGTGGCATGCGTGCAGAAGTTCCTCTCGCATGGCTGTGGGCACGACTAGTAAAAACGTTTCACCATTAGGTTCGAAGTTCCTCCTGTAAAGCACACTTCCTCGAAGGCAGAATGCAGAGAGCCCTCTGGAGAATATGCGAGGGACTTGAACGTCGAGACCCTGCAGGTGTTGTATAAGCGCCAGCAAATCCGGGTCATCTCGTTGTAGTTGAGCGATTTCGGATGCGTCGACAACGCCTAGAAACGGGAAGTCTTCCTCTTCAGGTACACTTGGATCGAAGGGAAAGCGTGACAGGCAGTCGGCATCACTGTGTTTCCTTCCAGATTTGTACACGACCGTAACGTCATACTCCTGCAGCCTGAGGCTCCATCTTGCTAGTCGACCTGACGGGTCCTTGAGATTTGCCAGCCAGCATAGAGCATGGTGGTCACTGACAGCTCTGAACGGTCTACCATAAAGGTATGGTCGAAACTTGTTTATTGCCCAGATGACTGCGAGGCACTCTTTTTCAATTGCAGAGTAGTTAGCCTCAGCTTTTGATAGTTTGCGGCTGGCATAGACTAACACTTTCTTTTGACCATTTTGCCATTGGACAAGGATGGCGCCGAGGCCGACATTGCTGGCATCGGTATGGACTTCAGTGTCGGCTGTCTCATCAAAATGAGCAAGTATTGGTGAACACTGTAGTCGTTTTCTTAATTCGTCAAAAGCTTTTTGTTGTTCGCTTTCCCATGTGAAGGGCACGTCGTCTTTCGTCAGTTTTGTAAGAGGATCCACAAGCTTTGCGAAATTTTCAACAAATCGCCTATAGTAGGCACATAAACCCAAAAATCGACGCACTGACTTTTTGTCTCTGGGTGTGGGGAACCTCCGAACAGCAGCTGTCTTTTCGGGATCAGGACTAACACCATCGGAACTAATGACATGTCCAAGGAATCGCAGCTCTTCGAAGCCGAAGTGGCATTTTTCGGGTTTGATTGTCAATTTTGCTGACCGGATGGCTTCCAATACTGTGCGTAGTCGCTTTAGATGTTTGTCAAACATTGCAGAGAATACCACCACATCATCCAAATACACTAGGCATGACTGCCATTTCAATCCCGCGAGGACAGTGTCTGTCATTCGCTGGAACGTCGCTGGCGCGGAACAGAGGCCGAATGGAAGCGCTTTGAATTCGTAGAGGCCATCTAATGTTGCGAATGCCATTTTTTCACGGTCCCACTCGTCGACCTCTATTTGCCAATATCCGCTTTTCAGATCCAAGGAGGAGAAAAACTTTGCGGATCGCAGCCGATCTAGTGTATCGTCGATACGTGGCAAGGGGTAGACATCTCCTTTAGTTACACTGTTCAGTTTTCCGTAGTCGACACCGGAATCTAAGTGTGTTGTCTTTCTTCTTAACAAGCACTACGGGGGACGCCCATAGGACTATTCTAAGGCTGGATGACATCATTTGAAAGCATCTCCTCCACTTGCTTCTTGATAATTTCCCGTTCTTTCTGTGACACTCGGTATGGATGCTGGCACATAGACCTCGTGTTGTCTTGCGTTATAATTCTGTGTTTCGTTATTGACCTGCGCTGGACCTTCGAGACAGTTGAAAAGCAATCAGAGAATTCTTTTACCAAGGCTTAAATCTGTTTCTTTTTACTGTCCAGAAGGCAGTGGTTGACGGTCACGGATGTGCCGACATAGCAGGCCACTGATCGAGTGGTTGACTTCGTTAAGCTGCATAGTTCGGTCGCCATACAGAAGTCGTGTAAATAGGCAATAGCCAGTGCCTTGAGCGATGTGTTGAAGTTCATTGGAGAAATTTGGGAGTAGGACATCTGCACGGCCATTCGTCAAGTCAACAAGACCCCAAGCTACGCAGACACCTTTGTTCAAAAACAGCCCTACATTTGTATCCGCTCTGCCTTCGCGATTGTACAATGCATCATTCTCTACAAGCACCATTATACTGCAGCGTGGCGGCACAGTTACATCATCATGAACAACGCGTAGAGCAGTTAGGCGGCGTTCTTCAGATTCCTCCACAGGTATAGCTCGTTCAGTCGGAAACGACACGCTGGGCCTACGCAGGTTAATTACGGTGCCATTAGCTCGCAA